GAGCCCAGGGACTTGGCCAAGGAAAAGCGCAGCTGGCTGGGGCTGCTGGGGCTGCCTGAGCAGGGCGGTCTTGCAGCCAGGGGTGTGAAGGGCCACCCCACATGGTGAAAGGCAACCCCAACTGGCAAGCAGGGAGGAGAGTGGAAGGCTGACCCAGGGATGGCCTGCCAACAAAGAGCCACGGGTTGCCGATGAGCATCTGCGATACCCCTGACGGCTTCCAGCAAGCAACTCCTTACCCCTCAGAGCCCCCACAGCCCCAGCCAACCGGGCTGTCCCAGACTCGTCTCCCGGACTCACCCTGGACCAGCCTCGGCAGAGCTTCTAACCTCGTGCTGCTCCCCTACCCCGCGCCGCCCCCCACCAGCTTGCTTGGGCCCCTCACACATCTGCTACCACAACAGTTGCTGCCTGTTCTGGGGCTTGCTCCAGGAGGTTTGAGGACTCAGTGTGTGGGCAGCTGTGATCAATCAAACCTCTGTTTCAGCATCCCGACCCCTCCTCACAAATGTCTCGCTTCTGTTTGAAGCACTGTTGAGAAATACAATTTGTTGCTCTTGCAAGCTGACCAGCTTGGAATTAAAAATACAGCAAGACTGGGACGCCCAGGGGCACGGCATTCCGTGGGTAATCTTTTTAACTGCTGCTTTTTTCTGAGATCTTTGCTCACACACATGTGATCTGTGTCTAAATGGCCATGCATAGCTCAGGTCTCGCTGGGAGTCAACCAATGCTTGGTAGTCAAGCCAGGTCTCAGAGAAGCAGTAACAAATCATGTCAGCAAAGGTCCCGCTAGTAAACAACTCCTATGCTCAGGCTGGGCCCTGCTCTCAATGACACACATTGTCATTCTGCAAAGAAGGCTTCGGCTTCACATAAAACACCAGGCAGAAGGGGTCACGTGGGGAAAGCTGAGAGGGAGGCCAGCAAAATGTGACCTGGGCGGGGACAGGCACGACTGCCCCTCTGGGCTGCCTTCAAGCAGCTGCTCCCAGAGCTGAGGGGTTGCAATGACTATTAAGAGGACGGGACAGGCCTTCCTGGGCTGGGTCCTGGCGGCATTTCTCCCACTGGGGTGCCCTCCTCTCTGCAACCACCCTCTCTCACTCCGGAGCCAGATGGCTGGGGCACCTGCAGCCTCGTTCAGCATCCTGCCCACGATTCGGGTACTGAGGCTTTAAGAAGACGTGAGCAACGTGGCTCACCTGGGTGGCTCCGTCGTTAAGCATCTGCCTTCGGCTCAGGTCATGATCCCAGGGCCCTGGGATCGAGCCCTGCATCAGGCTCCCTGCTCCGCGGGGAGTCTGCTTCTCCCTCTCCCACTCCCCCTGCTTGTGTTCCCTCTCTCACTTTCCCTCTCTCTCTGTCAAATAAACAAATAAAATCTTTAAAAAGAAGAAAAAAAAAGAAGACGTGAGCAAAGACAGTCCGAAAGCAATTGCTACCCCCGGACCCTCTGCGCCCTGGCCTCACTGCCCAAGCGGGCCGCTGCTGCCCGCGGGCTGGACAGCTGCGCGCCGGGAAGGGGCAGGGCCTCCTGTGGGCTCCCAGGACCATGTCTCCTCTCGCGGTAGTGATTCCGACTCCATCACCACTTCACACCCCTTGGCTCTGAGCACGGAGCTCACCACGGGCTGGGCTGAGCTGCAGGGCAGGCCTCCTTCCCATTTTCAAAAGGAAAGGATGAGGCAAGAAGAGGAACAAAGAAGAGAAAGCAAATGGCAAGGGCAGAAGAGGGAGGAGAAAAACAGAAGGAAAGAGACAGGCAGATACAGAAAAAAGGGAGCCCTTCTAGTGCACGGAGTGTGCCTCCTGGGACCTTCACGCTCTCTCCCAGTTCCGCCTCTGGAGTCGCCTGCAACGAGCCCATGCCTTCCCTCCCAAGATGTGCAGCAGCAACGCTAATGGTAACCGTCAGCACTCACTGCACGCCAGCCAGGGCACCAGGTCGTGTGTGTGTGCGCGTGTGCGCGCGCGCCACACACGCGCACGCAGGCTGGCAACGAGACACGCACAGACGTCTCCCTAGCTACGGATGCACACACACGTTCATACATACACACATCCGCACGTCCAGCCGTAGATGCACGTGTACACGCTGACACATCACACGCGCACGCGCGCTATCTCCCTTATTTCCCCCGACAGTCCTAGGGCAGTAGCAACAACAGCGGCTGCGGTGGTGGAATGATGTGCTGCACAGAGATGTGAGGCAGTCTGCCCAGGGCCGCCAGCCTCCTGCCGCTCATCTGGAGGCCTTCTGATGTGCTGATGTCCCCCCAGCCCCCAAATGCAGACCCAAAAAAGTGAACACCATGTTCCAGAAGGATCTCGGGAGGGGCTGTAACGGGCAAGGCCGGAGGGGCTCTGGGTAGCCCCCTTGCTCTGGGCACCCTGACTAACGGCCAGAGGAAAGCTCCTGCGTGTTCACCCACGTGCCGGCAGGTGTGTGCAGCCCCAGACAAGCGCCTGCAGGAAGCTGGGGTTTGTCTGAACTCCCAGGCACTCCAACCGAAAAGACACTCTGCACCAATCTCATACACCTGGTCGCAGATCTACACATCCAAAGGGGCTCCTTCACAGAAATGTTCAATTAGCACCCCTCACGCCCCCCCAAATAAGTGAATATTTATAAACCAAGATCACAAGACCTATGAAAAAGAGTCCAAGATCCAGCTTGAAGAAACAGAGCCGTGCTGGCCCTGGGTGCAAGCCTATCTTTCCAGAGACGCGCAGACCCTGCTCCCTCCCTGGCAGTGACAAATGCTGAGAAAGCCACAGCCCACAGAGACTGGTATCTGTACACCGGTGACAGGCTCGGCTCGTGGGGTTCCCAGGCACAGGGTCCTACACGTTCCAGGCTGGATCTAGGGCTCTCTGCAAAGGCACTGGGGTGGCCTCAGGCCCGGCTTTCAGAGCTCCTGCAAAAGTAAGGTCCATGAGGCCCATAAATTATCCAGCTGGGGAGCCAAAGCAGGCCAGGCCCCATGGAGAGAGGGCTGGCTGGGGCTCTGGAGGCATGGTCGGGGTGGTTCAGGGTCCATCCCCAGGGCTCCAGCCTCCCCCTCCTGGCATACACCCTTCCCAGGGGCCCCATCTTCACTTTCCCCGGACTCTGCCCTACCCAGGCCTTGGCTAGAGAAAAGCAGGCGGAATCAGGGCGGCCTCCCCAGGTTCTTGGAGGCCTGCCTGGAGCCAGTGAAGCAATCTACACATCTGGGCACAGCCCCATGGAGGAATATATTTTCAAGCAGTTTCTACCCAAGTGAGGACGGGGAACGTCTTTAGTGATGCCAGTGCTGTTCCTCCAGCTTGTGGGCAGTAAAACAGAATAACATGTGTAAGTTGTTTTTATTACCTATCTAGCTTATTAGCTCATAAAAAAAGCTCAACATTAAAAATTTAACTGAAGCCATTTATCGCACCCAGGACTCAGGGCTCTGGGTTTCCCTCAGAAAGTCACCTAAATCTGTCACCTTTCCAGCCTTTTTACCTATTTAAATTCCTGCAGGGAAGGAAAATTCCAGTCGCATGTCCAACGTACATGAACGTGGGTTTGATTGTTGTCTGGCTAGTAAAGCAAAGAATGTCCACCACTCAGGAAAAAGAAAGGGACACACCTGGAGGAGTGGCGGAACCTGGCCAGTGTGGGGCAGAGGGTGGAGCCCCAGTGGCACGGGGAAGGCACAGCATGTCACGAGCTTGTCCTCCAGCTGCCCAAGGCCAGGGCCGGGCTCCGGAGCAAAGGGCCAGACAGTCTGGACTCTGGGACCAGGTGCATGCTCAAGACTCGAGACACCTGACCCTCTTCTTTTGTTGGCGGGGGGACCTCTAGGCTGGGAGGGGGGCTACAGAAAGGAAGGAAATGCCATCAACCGAAGCGGCCTTTTTATTCTAAAGCAAAAGGAGGTCCAGCTGAAAAAGCAGCTCTGGGCACTGAAGGAAGGCCATTCTGCCCACAAAGAGGAGTGGACATGGGAGCCTGGCTGCCCAGAGATGGCCACATGCTCCATGAGCAAGGCCAGCCAGGTTCCATCCCTTAACACCCACCGGTGACCGAGGCTTCTATAACAAGACCAGCAAAGACAACAGTTAAACCGCAGCATGAAGCACCTGAGGGACTCTAGACACAGAACAGAGAGACCCACACCCACCCGTCCTTCACTGGATGGGTCACAAGGACCAACCCTAGTCCCCAAACCTCACTGTCATGCTCAGGCCTCCTCGGTAAGAACCAAACACAGGCGGCACCCAGGCTTGGAGACGGTCCCATAGATGGTATACTCACTCCACGTTCATCTCATTCAGATCAGTCCCCGAGCTCAGTGTTAGCACAAGGCAGGTCTCCAAGACACAGAAGATAAAGTGCAAGGGACGGGGCACGTGGCCGGAGGCCTCGCCTACAGTGAACAGCGAGGATGCTTACAAAGGTGGCACAGAGGATGGCCATCACAATTTCTGGATGGTCTCGTGCTGTCAACAGTTTCATCAGATGAGTAAGTGCTTCCCCCCCATCTCTCACCCTCTGAAACCATGACCCACGGTCCTGATCTCAGGATCAGCAGCATCCGAGTGACAATGAATCCTGGCCTGCACTGCAGGGCTGGGCTCCTGGGACAGAGGCTCCAGTGAAGTGCTGGAAGGGGGTCACCAGTGCTTGATGACAATGGTCTCCCCCCCAACACCCCACCTCTCACCATCTGTCTGCTCCAATACCACTAGCATTGCGTTCACAGGGAAAAAGCATCTCTGATTTTAAACGGAGAGAAATAGACACCAAAAAAAAAAAAACCAAAAAAAACCAAAAAACAAAAAACCCCACCTTGATTTCACCTTTCTTTGAAGAGCACTTAAAAAACAAGGACTCATAACCCACTTCCGGGCATTTCTGAAACCGGCGCCCCGCCTCTGCCTGGGATGGGGATGGGCCAGGGCCAGGAGCGGCTCCCGTAAGCACCGAGATGCTCCTGCAATGCCTCCCATGGGGCTGAGGCTCTTACCTGTGCCATCTTAGCAAGGTCTAGCGAAGGTCTCTGCTCCTGCACCTCTTCTGGGCGCCGCCGCTTAACGCCGACCTTCTTGTCGTTAAGGACACACGGCTGGGAGCGGCTTCGGGACAGCCCGCTGGAGCGTCTAGCCAGCTCTGGCGTTGAGGCAGGTGTGCTGTTGGCTGAGGGTGGACAGTACTCCGCAAAGGAAAACTGCTCGTGGGAGCAGGACAGGGACCGCTGCATGTCGAGCCGGCCCCCGCCCACAGGGTTCGGGTCGGGGCTCCAGATGTCACCCGCCTGTCCACAGGTGGCCGAGCCTGGCGCCCCCTGGCAGGGCTGACCTCCGAATCGGTGGTGGAATCCCGCCTGGTCGTAGGGTGAGGAGAGCGCATTGGCCCGGGAAGGGAGGCTGAAACTGGAGCTCCTCTGCATGGTACTGAAGCCGTTGGAATAGCGCTGAACACTGCCTCCGCTGTAACAGCGTCGCTTTTCTACAGGAGTCCAGACTTTGGAGCCCAAGGGCCTCCACGATGTCCGGCAGCTGGACATTTCATCGGAGAAGGACAGTGACCGGCACTGGCGCTTGCTGGGGGGCGCTGAGGGGTTCCCGTTGTGGTCGCTGAGGCTGAGGTCTTTGATCAGGTTGGTCACGGCGCAGGCGGTAGCAGCCTCCCGGTGCCACAGGGCGCTGTCCTGACACTTCTCCGGCAGGCACTCCCAGATGCCGGCGCTCGGCTGCTCAATCTGAAGAGGGCATTTCCTGTCCAGGTCTCTCCATCTGTCATTTTCTGGTTCAGAAATGACAAAGAGAAAACAGGATTTGAGAAGGCCTCCATGCCAGCCCTCGATCTCCACAACCAAGAGCCCATTTTAGGCAGGATTTTAGAGCCAGGAAGGCCCTTTAAAACCATCCGGTCCAACTTCACTTTATGGATGAGAAACAGAGGCTCAGAGTGGGAATGTGAATCCCACGGTGTTGAGTGAGGCACAGAGCGAGGCCCAGGATGCACGTACCCCCCAGGCCTCCTGGCGCGGCTTCCTTTCCAACATTCCACACTGCCTCCCGGGAAAGTGCAAAACAACAGTTTTCACCCAGATGCTTTCCCATCTTATAGGTGGGAAGCCGGCCTGCCCCAGCCCTCCCCAGCCCTCCCCTGGCCTGCAGCAGTTGGGGCAGGATGTCTGTTCCATCCCCTCTCGAGCTGGGGCTCAACGCCCTCGCAGAAGACCATGACCCAAGAGGAGTCTTTTGGTACTTAGGAGGGTCAAGGTCAAACGGGGCGGGCAGTGCTGCAGGTTAGCTCACCCAAATTCCACCTCTAGAATACTTGTTGACAATAGAAACTGGAAACTACTGAGCTATGCCTCCTCCATCAAAATGCTCTGCAACATCAACATCGTCACCAGTGACAACCAATCATGGAGCACTTTCCTTGTGTTCACTTGATTTCTCACTGAGATGGACGATGTTTAAAATGGGTAAAATCTGTAGGAGCGTGTCTTGGGCTGCACAGACATACAGGGATGCTTTAAACTTACATCGTCAGGTCTCTACTTGAAAACATGAATAAATAAGCTAACCCCACTAGGAAACGCCGACTTTGCACCTGAGCCTTTATTTTAGTGAAATATTCAGGAACTATGTGGTGTTTTTCCACTGAAGAACCAGGCACTGTGCTGAGGATCTTAGGAGGGCACAGATAAACCTGACGTAGTTCTGGTATTCAAGTTTATAATACAAAAGCAAAGTTGAGACCCGTATCCTGTGCTGCCAGGGATCCACATATTGGCAGGTTTCTGTATTTTTAAACCTACACACATTTATGAACGGTACACAGGGGAATATACAGAAAACTACGGCTTGAGTCTGTCAGTTGTCAGGACAGAAGCAAAACCTGAAATGACATTCAGGCAGGTGTTTGACTGATGCACACCGACTCTCACAGCACTGCCATCGATTACTGAGCAGATATGCCCCATGGCGGCTGGAACCCGCCAGGCGCTCCGTATGGAGGGTAAGTGGCCTGGGGCCACACAGCTGAAAAATGACTGGAGGCTAACTCAGGCTGGCCCACCCCAGCGCCCTGCTCTTTTCACCATGTCACAGCGTCGAGGGGGACCACAGGGAGCCCAACACTGGGCCTGCCCTCAGCAAGTTTCTGAGTCACGCAGGGTGGGCCATCCACTCAGAAAACCACGGTGAAACCCACATGAATGCGCCAGTCAGCAAGGACCACACGTCCGTCTCCTCGATCAGGGGTCACTTCTCAAAGGACACTGAGAGACACAGCGAGGGACTGACCCTGTGCTGCGTGTCCACAGCTACTGGACAGGTTCAAAGGGAAGGACCGGTGAGGCTCAAAAGGAGCCTCACAAGCCAAAGATCGGCCAAATCAGGGCTAAAGGTGCCGCTCCTTCACCTAGGACACCCTGCCACAGTCGTGAAACATGCTTAAGGGGTTGGGAGCCTGGACAGGGGACACGTGAAGAACTGCCCAGAGGCTGCTCCCATGAGACGGCCTCAGAAGCTGGAGATGGCAGGAGAGGGCTCTTCCTTAAACCCAGTTAGGCCACTTGGGAACAACACAGGACAGTCACCAAATGTCCAATTCCCCTCCTCCAGGAAACTCCTTGGGCCCTGGTGCACGGCAAGTATCCACACGTGTCCCTTTCACTAAATCTGATAAAGTATTACCATAAACTGCATTTTTGCAGGTAGCGTTTATGTTGTTCAAAACATGTCCTCACCACTCACTGCCCCTAGAGCAGCCATGATTCTTTTAAAACAGTTTCGATTTGACATTTGTTAGTAGTTGTAAAATCAGTAAACTTATAATAAAGTAAGATTAGAAGAAATACAAACATTGACTGAGTCACTCTTGTTAGCTGATTTACAAGAAGAAAAGTTATCCTCAGAAAAAAGTGTAGATTTCTACATAATGATATTCTTCAAAGTGATACAAGGGGGCGCCTGAGTGGCTCAGTCGATTAAGTGTCTGCCTTCGGCTTGGGTCGTGATCTCAGGGTCAGGGGATGGAGCCCCACATCCCATCGGGCTCCCTGCTCGGTGGGGAGCCTGCTTCTCCCTCTCCCTCGGCCCTGTCCCCTGCTCATGCTCGCATGCGCACGCGCACCCTCTTTCTCAAATACATAAATGGAATCTTAAAAAATAAAGCAATACGAGTGGCAGCAAAATGGTAAACACAACTAAAACACCCTGCAGTCGGGCTGGTGATATAAATGATCAGGGAATAATATGGAGTATGAAAACAGCACAGTTCCAAAGAATATTAATGATGCGGAGAAATGTTAATATGTAATTCGAAGCCTAAAGAAACAAGATAGAAAAACTGTACAGAGAGCATGACTCCTATTCTGTAAAACACGTATGTTATATGTGATGATTAAAAAAAAATAAACCAAAACATTCATACTCGAATTGGGGAGAGCCGGCTAATTTATATTTTTTTTCCTGTATGTTTTGCTAGAGTTTCTACACTCTCTGTAAGGACAAATGCATTTCCAAATGTGTGGGGGACGCGGCCACCAAACCCACTGGTGCTGTGCCAGGGGCAGGACCTGTGACCCCAGCCTCCGCCGGGTCTGCTCCTTTGGTCTTTCAGGGAGTTCCCTTAGAGTAACGCTGGCCACCAACTTCTCTTTTGGGACAAGGCACTGAGGCACCAGATGGGCCGGGAATGTGGTGACTGAAGGAGGACCCAGTGGGCCCAGCCACAGAGCAGGGAGGGCCCCAGCATGGCGCCACAGTGGCCCTGCTTAAGGAACCCGAGGCTCACTACAGGCAGTCTCCACCCCAGGCCCTGGGAAACCCATGAAACTAAAAAGAATTGATCCCACCTTCAGAGAATACTAGTTTCCATTCTATTTTAATTTCACTGCCCTAGAATCGTCCCCATCTCCAGGGAAGTCATGAGAAGAAAGGGGACCTGGGAGCCCGTTAAGCGTGAAGGTTCGGCCCCTCTCATCTGGCAGCACCATTCCTCCCCTGTGGCCATCTCGTGATCCCGAGGCTTCTGGATGGGACCCCTCAGGCCTCCCTAATCCAGGCTAACCGACTCACTGCTTCCAGAGAACTTCCTGAGGCCCCCACCTTTGTCCCCATGCAGCTGCCTGTGGCCTTGAAGAAAGAACGTTTTGGCCTGCCATCCACACCCCATCCGCTCATCGCCTCCCCGGCTAACCCTGCTCCCAGCGCACCGAACTTCCCGACATCGGAAGTCAGACAAGAAGCAGGCAGAATCGAAACCATCCTGGACGGTCCCTGGAACAGCCCAGAAAGCACACTCCTCCTTCAGGGTTTACACAGCCCTGAAGAGTAGTCCTTATAAAATGGAAGATTCATGAAACAACTGCAGGAATGCGCACAGCCATTCCCTGTGTGGGAGGTGGGTGTTCCGTCTGTGTTTAGGTTCACTATCAAATCCCCAGTGGGGACTGGGGTTGGATGGCTAACTCTGACGTGTTCCCGCTTGCCTGCAGGAACCATGCCACTCTGTTTTAAGGGTAAGCCTCTACAACCTTAACAGTAAGATTCCTTTGCCTTGGGGATGATGAAGAGTCCGTTCTCAACTGGGTCCACTGGGGTTAAATGCCAGAGCAATGTGTCTGCAGTGAATCTGCAGCCTCCCCCCGCCCCCCGACCCCAAACACCAGCTCTTTCATGCCCTTACACCTCTGTAAAGGCCCGGACTGTTCTTCTCCTGCCTTTATCCTTCCAGCAAGAATCTCTTCCTTAAGAGCCAACGCAAACATGGCCTTCTCTGTAGATGTGCCTTCTCCACATCAGCCACTGGGCGCCCACAGTTCTTTGCCTGACTTTCAATCTTATGGCTCAGATGTTAACTGAACCTTAATTATCTATTTACAAGTCTGCTTCCACTGAGCCACGAGCCCTCGAGCACAGACCCAGCATGGCCCTCCAGTGCCCAGCATGGAGCCTGGCACACAGCAGACCTTAGCTGGTGGTGCGTAGAGGAAGGAACAGATAATGTGCAGATAAAAGCTGCAGAGCAGGCTGTGGGTGATCATCTGGTCCCACTTGTCCCTCATCCTTGGCACTGGCAACCCCTCCTCGGGCAGCTAGGTCCAACCTGGGGGCTCTGCCTTCAACTTCCCGCTTTCCCGAGGCCATGGATGGGTTGCGTGTGAAGCAGCTGGGAGTCTGGCTGGTGGTAGGAGCTCTAAGATACTCTGGAAACACAAAGCACTGTCTAACATTGAGCGCTGCTACCGTGTGCCAACACCAGCCAGGTGGCCACTGGGTCTGTCTGAGGGGCAGATAATATTTTAATTGTTACTATCTTTATCGCCTGAAGAAGTACAACATAAGAAAATTAAAAACAATCGGGGCTATGTTTAGCCCTTGTGTTTTCCCCCTTCACTCAGAAAACAGAAAGCAATTTGCTGGGTCAGGTCACCAGACAAAAGAAACAGGAATAGAAGCTACTTTTTAATGGCAAAGAGCCCCGAACTTCTGGCCCTGACGTCACTCCGGACAAAGAGCCTCGGCAGGGCTCCGAGGAGAGGATACTGGACACCCCCGCCCCTCCATTCAATACCACTCTGCACAGTGATGACTCTTTCACAAGTGACAATGGCCACGGACCTGGGGAGTCCACTGAGCAGGGGTCACCTGGGACGTTTGGAAGGGTGTGCACACAGGTTTGAACCTCAGCTCTGCAAGTCACTTAATCTCTCAGAGCTTCAGTTCCCCTGTCTACAAAATGAGGGAGACAGCAATGACCTCGCAGAGCTATTCTAAGAATCA